ATATGGTTTTATAAAGGATTGTATATAAGAACTGCAAGCGACTTTAAATTTTTTATTACAGTTTTAGCCGTATTTAAGTAAAAATCTCAATTGAAATTCATTCGATTTCAATTGATTTTAACATGAATTTCAATCAAATTTCAATTGATTCTAACGGGATTTTCATTCGATTTGAATTGATTTTAAAAGGAATTTAAAGGCGGCCTTACCAAATCCTTTCAATAAATATGCACCCCCAATAATAAATAATTTCTGACCCACCGGATTGTTTATTATTACGGGGGGGGGGAACGTCGTTTATTATTAGGGGGAAGCGATTACTTGGGAAGTGGTACTTTCCCTAAACAGGTGGACCCCAATATAAACCCCCAAATACTATAATGCTCATGTTGAGGACCCCCCCCAAACCGTACCCATGCTTTTGGGAAAGCCCCAGGTCATGTACGGAGTTATTGAGTGTTGATCATGAAGTAAGGGAACCCCTTCCTCAACACTTTCGATCCAGACCGCTTGGAACAATTCAACATTTGCTTGCTGGAACAAGTATGGAATGAGTTTGGGACGTAGCATGGACTGCAACAACTTGGGCGGCCACGATCTGGTATAGGGATGTTTGATCACCAAACATGGAAATCGCACGCAATTTCAACACTTGAAACCTCCGCTTTCTGAAGTAGCAAGCTAACTAACCGGTTTGAGTGCTTCGCACTAGCTGAGGCGCACGCTTCGCAAGACATGTGCTGACTGGACTGGGCAAGCTCCAGCCAGCCCTTGCTTGATCATGTGTAAAACCCTGCTCATAGAAGTTTGACCTCATTCTGGAAGTGCCTTGGATGATATGTGGTGCCGCAAGTACTTCCTAGTCTTTCTGATATATGTATACTCTGGCAGCTGAAAGCTGTCGTTCTGAATCTGCCTTTTGAGCCACCAGCTTCCGAGACAAGCTTGCAAAAATCCTGGCAACCTCCAAAGTGAAGCGTAGGTCGAGAAACTCGCGTGCCGGTAGAGTAGATCATGGCGGTAGATCAGGAAACAAATAGCAAACTATCACATAAGATACCGTTATGAAAGCTACAGTTACCAAGGAGGTCAAGCTAAGTCACCCCAGACAGTGAGAGTTCACATCAGCCACTGCAGATGTTAGGTCTGGAAAGAACATAACACACCTCAGCGGGCATCTATTACACATCAGAAGACGCCAATACTCGCGTAGACGCGAGCTTTGAGCTCCAATGAAGAATGCGTATGCTGCGTCTGGGCGACAATGCTACAAGCAGCTCAGGCTGATTTGCCCGTTCACCATCTAGACGCCGGTTTCAAAATTAGTTGAAGACAGGGCATGGCTACATGGACATACGATGAGGGATGTCGAGGCCCGGACTCACAAACACTTTGAAGGACAACAAAACTTGTACGTGGGCTGAATCTTAGCGGGTGCTGCAGAAAACACCTCACAAACAACGCATGGTATATACATATATCTATACGTATATGCATACATGATATGGATATCAATGCGTGTAAATGCGCGTATCTATACATGTACACATATACATATATATGTGTATCTATATCTACGTGCATATGCGCGCATATCCGTACACATGCATCCATAAATACATACCTACTTACTTAATTACTGCAATACATGACCATGGACTTGTTCGCCCACGTGCAAAAACTTACCTGATGTGAGATCACCCAACCCGTTGTACCAGCTGAGATCAGGCATGGGGTTCTCTGCATAATTGCCTCACCACTTTTTGTACTAGTTGAAACAGAGACTGTGCTTCATTGCATGTTCAACCTTGAAATTGCCAGCGCTCAACCTTCATAGAAATTATTGAACAATTTCTCTGGTGGACCTGGCAATATGTATGGACATGCAGTACCTGCGCTTGCAACAGCAAGCATTGCAGAGGAAATTGGTGGCTGCCGCTTCCGCCAACCCTACCTATGGTATTCAGGATGATTCCTCTCGGGACACATCTAAATCCGAAGCTGCTACAGGCCATGCTATTGCACCTCCAATTCGGGTCAGTTTCATTCGTTTTTGCGAGCGTCGGTCCACGCAGTCCCTGTGACTTGTCCACTCCTCCAAAAGGCTCAGTCGCCTCCACAAGAGAGCACCTGAGGAAGTCCCCTTTCAAGTACAGGTGCATGCGGCATAGGGCTAGCGTTTGGGTGAAATCCTTGTTCAGGAGCAGTTAGAGCTCAGGTTAAAAAATTCAGGGCAAGCTGCGAGTGTTTGCTTAGTTCGTGATCCCCTCGTCAATAGAGAGGCAACGCAGTGCATGCGAGTGGGATGCGCAGGTCACAGCCCTGGCTTCGCCATAGCCCGACGGTAGTGCCGGACCTTGCATCCTTGGACCTCCGTTTCTCCAAGCCAGCTAACATTCAGAACCCCCCGAGAAAAGCATTATGAAAAGGGACTTCTTTTCGAAACTAGGTACTTAACAGAGAATTCTAGGTCCCCGAAGTCCCTTGAGATGGTCATACTTGGGTTATAGCCAGTACAGGTCAAACCTAAACCCTGAACCCAAACCCTAAACCCTGGACCTTAAACCCTGACCCTGAACCAGAAGCCCTAAAGTCTAAACCCCTGAACCCTAGACCCTACATCCCAGCCATAACTAGGCTAAAACTACGCTGAACTTCCAAGTAACATCGGATCTGTCGAGTCAACTGGCGGATTGCTCCTTCCTTGTGGGCCCGGAGGCTAAAACAGAAAACTGAGACGCTGGTGGGATCATGGAAAAGAGACTGGAAACTACTATTTAGGGTTCAGGGTTTAGGGTTTAGAGGTTATATTGTGGTAATCTAGGAGTTATGGAAAATGAAATAGAAACTACTGAGGTAATGTTGGGGTTATATTGGGGTTCTATACAGGGTTCTTATTGGGGGAAAATTGAGCCCCGTACATTAAGCCTGTCTTCAAGTCTTCAGGGCCTAGTATTCCAGAGTGGTCTATGGCCGTGGACTCTTGTGACTAGTCCCTCCCGAAAGTTTGTATTAAGTTGAGACAATCGTCGTGAAACTCCAGGAGTGAATCACTTTGTTACTCAAATCCCTACATTCTTCAAGGAAACATTACGCACAGGCGGATGCTTAACCCTGAACCCTAAACCCAGAACTTACGTAGAGGAAGACCTTAGCCCTATGTTTCTACATAGAAAGAATTTGTTTAAGGGAATGCTTCCCGTGCCAAAATATTTTCCAAACTTTAGTAAAGAATTGTCGGTGAACCCAGCTAATTGAAATATGTAGGGACTAGCAAAGGGTTTGGGGTTTATGCGGACTTGATGGCTTGAAGTCGTGAAGTCCCTGAACCCTTAACCCGAACACATGGCAAGCTTCTTGGGTTTGAGGTTTCGGCTTTTGGTCTTTTGGGGTTAATGCACATATGCATATGTTGTGGGGTTAGAAAGAGCTGTTAGGGGTTTATGATTTAGGGATTCGGGCTTAGGGCTTTAGGATTTAGGGGTTATTGCAGGCCCTTGCAGCTACCCATTTGGTGATTGGCCAGTGGCTGCAGCATCTGCACATCACATAAGGCTTTGTTCTGCTGATGCTGGCTCATGTACGGAACCCTTTGTTTATCCATAGTCTTCATGTCATTGCACGCAAGCTTAGCGTGGCACAGAACTGGGGCGACATGGAAGTTTCTGTAAATTCGGGGGGCCCTTATACACCCCGGCATCTTCTAATCCTTAGACAACTTACCCGAAGGAAGCATGCCGAGGAGTGGACCCATCATCTCCGGAGTACGACTCCCCACGAAGTCGGATGCTCCAGTTGTAGGGTCCTGGCAACTACCCAGGGGTCCCAATAGCCCTTGGTTCGAGAATAATACATAGATTAAAATCTATTAGGGATCCTAATACTACTACCAGGTGGGCATATTCCTGAATTAACAGGTGGGCATCCATAACCCTGAAACTCCCCACAGGGTTTAGAGTTGAGGGTTTTAAGGCTTCCCTCCTACAATCTCTTATATTCGTACCCATGGGTTTGGGGTTGCTGTGAATGGATTATATATGTTGTTCTGGGAAATTTGTTAGGGAATATCCGGATTAACTATGCTCGGGAGAAGAAGAGTACAACCTGGGGGTTACAAACCCCATCACCGTCACCCTGTGGTTCAGGTCAGAAGCCCAGCTAAGCAAGAATTCGAGGGCACTCTCCGTCCAAGCCTCCATGACGTCTAAAGACGTGTAGTTTCGGGTTTTGGGTGGCTGGCGCAGAGGATTCAGTACGGCTTGGGGGCCTGGGGTATATTCCTCAGGCAGGCTTTGTTAAACGTCCTCTACAGCCTGAAGCCAGATCCCCCATCGGCGCCACAACACCTAGACCTTGTATGGATACGTGCTCCGTTCATTTTTCAATTGATGCATGGTCAGACTGGAAAGCACAAATTATCCTTTGCGACTCTCCGTAGCACTGGGTGCTTCATACAGTGTTTAATAGTCTAAACACCTAGTATCCCCTTAACAACCCCTATAGTAGTCGTATATTATCCCTTTAAGGACTTTATAGATTATGGCTAATATGCGGTGGCTTTTACAATGATTGCGGTTACTCCTGTGCAAGTGCCCTCCGCCCTGAAAATCTAGACCTGAATCCGAAAGTCTATAAATCCCAGATAACATGGAACCCCAGAAATCAATGCTCATGCAGTGGTATTCTTAATGCTGCGTGCTGCATGTTGGGGTCTAAGCAGGGTATCCTGAAAGAGAAAGACGTGCCACCCTGGCCTTGAGCTCGAAACCCTAACCCATACGCCCTTAGTGTACCAGTAGAATAAGTTGGAGCTGGAAGGAAAGAGCCTGCAGCGTGCCCGAGAAATTCGGGTTTAGGGCTTCGGAATTATGATCTTACTATGTAATATATTAGTTTCCATTTTATTTTCCATTATCCCAATATAAACCCAATATAAGGGATAAAAAGGACCTTTCTGAACCCGCCTCCAGATCTGCGGACGGCTCCGGTGCCTTGCGAACAGCAGGATCACTTGGCAGAGATCTGGTCAAGCGATGCAAAGGTATTTCTAATACAAATGGCTCCACAAAGGCCACCCTCTTGAAACGCCTTGAAATGCTAGCACAAAATCCAGCCAGCGTGCACTTAGCAGAATTGTATTACCTCCAATCAGGCCTGTACATCTGATGCCTTTTTGGGCTTCTTGGCTGGCACCTGCGCTGCGCAATCTCCCGTGGTGGGGTGTCAGATTGTTTTGGATACTAAATAGTAGTTTCCATTTGCTTCTCCATTATCCCTATATAAGCCCTATAAGCCAAAATATAACCTCAATCCAATTTAATCCCAATACGACCCCAATATAACCCCTATATAACCCCTATATAAGCCCAATATAACCCCCATATAACCCTTATATATGCCCAATATAACCCCCATATAACCCCAATATAACCCCAATATAACCCCAATATAACCCCTATATAGCCCCAATACAACCCCTGTATAGCGCCAATATTACCCCTATAGCATATGACCAACCTCGCCCTGCCTCTAAGACGGTAGACTGCTTCGATGCCTCGCGCATGACCAAACAAGTGTACAAACAACTGCACAACGCTGCAAAGACTGTAGAGAACATGCTTTGACCTCCCAAGGTTTTGTTGACCCCACTCGCCCTCCAATGGTTCCTTTCTTTTCAAGATCACTGGTTGCATTAAAAATGCCGCGAAGACACACAGAGGCACGAATTTAAATGTGCTGACAGCCGGGCAGAGCCGCATGCCAACAAGACCACAGCCTGCTCCACATTCGATGCCTTCTTGTTTTTCTTGGCCGGCACCTCCGGTGGTGCGATTTTTGGGGGATTGTGGGTCAAGGTATAGAAAACGCGACTGATCAAAGCCGCCTGTGAATCCATAGATGGCTTGGTGCCTCGCCAAACTAGTAACAAGTAGATGACATGTAACGGACTTTGCTCAAGATATACCGAGTTGTGTGAGAATAGTTTCCTTTGGTATGAGTTGATGCAGCCTGTCAAGATGACTAAGTGCTCAATCAGCCCGAAACCAAGGGCATGAACCAAGTGATTGTCCCCTCATCCAAGCCTAAATGCCCTGCTGAGACAACTCCGCCTGAATGTTCCAAGTTTGAGGACTGTAGGAGGGATGAAAGCCATGGAGAGGTTTGTTGCGCCACGCTCATCTACAAGATTGCGGAATGCTGGGGATGATAATAATGCCATGTGATCGCGCCACAAGACATCAGCTGAAAGATGGCATCAGGCAGGCATGCCCGTGGAGAAGGCACAAGGGCAGCGTACATTTTGTTTGAAAATAGCTTATCGTGGAATATGATGAAGCTAATGTTGTCTAGACTTGTGTGTTGCTTCGTCTGTCGCCTGACCTCTTCACCTCAAGCATCCTAGTCCCGCAGCTGAGGACTGCAGATTGTTGCACTCATACATGTAGCATGGGCTTTAGGCCTCTAGGTGTAGTATTTTCTTCTTGCATAGGAATCCTCCTCCTGCAGCCTCTACATACCCCTTGGGCATCTAGGGCATGCCACTGTCGGAAGTTATTATAAAATCCCAAAGTCTAAACCCTGATGTCTACACCAAAAAGCCCTCAGCCCTAAACAGATCATGAATCACGAGCTGCTGAAATCATGTAGCTGGCAAGGTCCCACCTTGTCTTTATTCTTCTGCCTCAGTTGCACTTGCATGCGCGGACGCCTGATCTGCTGGACACACCCACCGTACTTATGACTCCAAACAGCGCATGAAGGCATATGTGGCAACAACCACTCTGGAGATGACTAGGAGGCGCGTGGTCCACACCTCAGCCGGAGGGCCAGTGCCACACCGGGGAGGAGTAAGGTGCGGGCCTCGCAGTGCAAGCAACCTGGCAAGGACTTTTGAATGAAGGGGAAGACTATGACAGTCTTGTGCGCTTGCAGAAAAGAAAGGCTAGGGCTTTGCCGCAGGTGTCTGATTACGGTCTCTTGCATTGAACGCTTGGCGTTCAAGCCACATCCTCTTCCTATGTCTCATGCGCTGGTCATGCTGTACAGAGCCAGGTCTACGACGCCCGGGCTCCAAATTTTCGAGCTCATACTGATTGTCAGGATGCTCAAAGAAGGCCTTCGCTGCGGACTGCTCTGCCAAATTCTGCCGCTCACGCACCTCGCCCTGATAGACTCTGGGCCCCATAGGCGGAATGGTCACCGTCGACTGAAACTTGTCCTCCGCCAGCTTCTCAGCGCTGTAGACTTCTGGCCTAGCCTGTGCAGTCCGCCCATCGTGGTACTTTCGCCTCGGAAGGGCGGGGACAACTGAAAGGCTGTCCACAGTACAGGAATCGTCGAGCGGGTTTGCAGGGGGCATGTGTTGTACAGTGGGTTTTCTCTGCTCTGCTTGGCATCAACTACTCCCCTGTCCCTGTAGTCCAACCTCTCCAACAACTCTGCTTCAAAGTCTCGATGAGGGGGTGGGGTTCAGGATCTAGCATGTGTCTTTCCAAAACAATGTGTGTCAAAGTATCGGCACGGGCAGGGTTCAGGAGCATGCCGCCGTGCAGCACGTTGGAGACCCCACCATTGTGTGCTAGTTTGTCTGTTGTCAAGACATTCTCGAGCCTAGCGGGTATTGTATGTTGCGTGCACAAAATCAGAGTCCCAGGACTCAGTAGGCTTTTCTTGATGACTGTTCATGTGGAAAGCTTTTTCGCAGCTGTTCGGATCTCATCTGGACTGCGTGGTGGGTACCTGCGGCATGTACTGCTGACTGCTGTCGCAAGGTTTAAGACAACTGGGTACAACACTCTGCGAGTCAAATGTCAAAACTGAGGAGGCCACGCAAGAAAGTTACGGAGTTCAGCCTTGTAGTTTCTCTGTGCACCCTCCTTCAAGGGAGCAAATGTGAATCCGACTCCTTTCCTTTTGACCGGCGGGCTTGGAGTCCACTGCCCTGGCTCTTTCCGAGTAGGCATGGGCGTCTCAGGAACAGTCTGTGATGACAGAAACCCTGAAAGTGGCGATGCCCGCTCCGGGATCGCTTCTGGAGGAACTTGTTCGCAGGACGCCTGTGCTGGGGTTGCAGGGACCGATACCACATCCGGCATACGTCCAAAAGGCCACATTGCTCTGCGATCTTCTGAAACATAAGGTCTCTTCCATGGTCTCATGTCCTCCTGTTGTGCTGCCGTTGGCTCCGCCATGACTGGCATCCATGAGGAGGAGGCTGAAGAGTGTTCACACCCAGCGGGGTCCATGGCGGCTATTACCAATTAAGCTAGTGCTACAAGCATTTCGCTAAGATACACTACAGGAAGTATCTTGTGCATGTGGGACGTCAGTGGTCGCGGCAAAGCTTTGCCGTTGTGGGCTGGCTTGGAGGCCCAAGGCATCAGATACGCACTCTGTTGCTAGCTCTCTTGTTGAGTGCTGCACACTTCCTTTTGAAGCGTTTGTACACGTGGGTGGCCAAGTCTGCAACCCAAAGCTGCGAATCATCATGTGACCGCCATGAGCATGCTGAGCAAACCAGGCATTTGCCCAACTTGTTCCCATGGCAATCATAACCCTCGAATCCAATTTGCACCACGTCGCAGCAAACCTTAACTCAAATCAAGCGCTGGCCTGCACTTTGGCCCTTTTTGCCCTGTCGCAGGCACGGGCTACTCAGTAAGAAGACAGGCTTCTTCCACTCTACTGTGCATGGGGTGATGCAAGACGACGGTGGGCGTGCTGTGCTGCGAACTTTGCGTCCTTTCTGGGAACAGCTTCTGTTGCACTGGAGGTTCTTCCAGTACGTTCAGAGAAAACACCCAAGGTTTCAGATATCCCACTGCGAAAGCTTGAATATTTGTTCAACGGCTTCCAATTCCTACCTTCTGCGCCCAACAGGGGACTTTTGGATGTGATGTGTAAACGCAACATAACGCAACGTCACTGATACTCTGTCATAATAGCGGAAGGATGCGAGAACCTGCCATCTGAACACCCAGACTACGGGCGGGCAAACACCACGACCCCAAACTTGAATGAGTTCTGGAGCAAACCCTGTTCAAATTCTTGCAATGCCGCAGACATGTTCTGAGTTGTTCTCAAGTTGTGGTAGTTGAGTTTCGGTGAAACCTTGTGCTGCCAAGTGCTGTACAGACCCCGTAGAATTAACTCGAAAAGCGGCCTTGTTCAATAGAAGGGTAGCAACAATCTTGCGCCAAGGAAACTGTGTATACAACCCGTTCCAGTCACTGGGTCTGGATATCGCCCAAAGAATCTCAGCTCTTGAGCCTAAATTCCAAACCCAAAACCAACATGCTGGTAAGTTTTTTGTAAGATGAGCGCGGAGCACACTGAAACTTGAAGTCGTAAGGCGTACGGTGCAGTCATCAACGGACAGAATCCGAAAGTTAGGAAGCCCGAAGCATGCTCACCCATTTGCAAGCCCAAACCGTTCAAAACTGGAAATCAAAACACCGCCTGTCGGAGAAAGCGACGGAATTTTGGCGAGGTCGTCGCGTAGATCGTCATACCACACGGGATACCCTTGATACCTGGCTTAATCAGTACTGGGAGGTCGGGTTAACTCACCTCACTCACTGCAGACGCTGCCTTTGGAAAGAATGCGCATTAGCTGGAGATATACACATCCGAGAACGCAAAGATGATGCGTAATGGAGCCAGGCACGATGACGCCTTTTCGGCTGCGGCGCTGAGGTTGGGCAAAATCTCGAAGGAGCTATGTTTTTAACCCTGTGCTTCATGATGTAGACTCTGCTTTCAAAGATAGGTGGAGACAGGGCATGGGTACATAACATGGGTAGATGCGTGGACAAACAGGCTGACCAATACCGTTTTCCACAGGAGACATAGCTTTCTGAGGCCATAGTCTGCACCTGGAGCCACGAACTGCGGAGACAAGCTTGCAAAATTATGGCAGCCTTAAGATTGAGGTGTGGGTCCTGAAATCGGCCTGCAAGCTGCCCAGGATAGTAACGAAAGGCTGCTACTTCCCGTCTCTTGGCATGGGTTGACGCTTCAATGCCTTAGGAGGCAAGTTGGCAGCACTTTTCTTGCCGGTCAACCTTGGCGATGCCCTGTGATGGCGCTCGGGTGTGGCATGTTGGTGCCAGGTTCTAGATGGCCTCCATGCAAGCCTACGAGGTGTTGAGTAAGGGACCATCAGAATGACGTCTGATTACTGCCGCGCTTGCCTACACTGAGATTCTGATAGAGGTCTGTCCAAGATTGACAGCCACTGTTACACACCCGCCGTACTGGGCTAGAGTACACATTGCATTTGCAAGGCTGGAGGAATCTTGCATATCCTCAAAATGAGGGTGCGTGCCAAAAGTAATTTCAAGTGCCATTCTTGTTGGTCCTTTGTTTTGAAAGGGTATGTACCAGGGTGTCCTACTTTTGGCACAAACCCACATGAGTCACCCTGGGCATTGGCTAGGCGTTAGGGTCAGGCATACATTTCATGCCCAGGACCGCCAGATGCTCGCGAACGTGAGGCTTCGCGTCTCTCTTCCATACAAAGACATAAATCGACACAGTCGGAGACAGAAGCAAGTGCAGTAGGTCGGAGGTAGGGACATTCCTATGTCTGATGTTTTTAAAAATCAGCTCAGTTTTGAGTTAATAAACCTGTAAGGACCCCCTTTGCTCTTGCTTCTGACCGACTTTGGCAAGCACTTTGGCTCGCCGGAAGCGTGCCCCAAGGCAAGCCTTGGAAGCTCACTGGTCCAAGAACACAGATCGAGGTCCCGTCACTCGTGTAAGGCAACAACAGGTTACATTGCGGGTTTGCGCATGTTGACCACCTACCCCTGAGCTTCCACGTCACCAGCCGTGCGACGATTGGTTTTCAGCGCACGCTGAACATACATGGAATCATTGAGGGCGGAGCGAAACTGCTGCCGCCAACTTTCTCGACTGCCCAAGGGCCCGCCTGCGAGCTGGGCGGTAGTTGCATTCTCATGTCCCGACGGCGTGTGCAAAGTATGCACCAGCTTGTCCATCTTTTGGCCCATCTCTTGCAAGTGGCCCTGCTGCATCGCTGCATGCTTACCTGGATCCGTCTTGTAATGCACGGTACACTTTAAGGTTTATATACCCTTTGATTCAAGTATCCATCAAAATGCAAAGACCATTTCAAACGTCCAAGTTACCCACATCCAGCCGCACCATGTCGTAGAGACGGTCCTCAACGCAGTCTTCCAACTTCGTCACTCGCCGGTCCATGGCCGAGATGGCTGCCTCACGTATCCCTTCCCTTGAGGGGCCGGTGAAGGGAGCTGTAAACTGTAGATAGTGTACGGTGGTGGCGTAGCAATCTTTCATTCAACACAAACTACACATAGTTCTTCCACGGTCCATTCCTTTGCCACACAAACTGGGATACTGTTAAGGAAGCTATCAATTTATGAGTATATAGTAAGTAAGGAGGGTCCTTATTATAGCAGCTTAGAAAAAGTTCCTTAACAGCAACCCAATGTGTGTCTATATATATATATATGTATATGGTGTTTTCCATAAATAGGGGACCTTAATGTAGACCCCAAAATACGGTATTCCTTAGAACTGGGCCCCTCAAAATGGTACCCCTAATTTAGGGAAACCTTAAACCCTATAAGAATCCTTGTAAAAATCCCTATGTATCCCCTCTATCCCCCCTTTTACGGGACCCTAAGCCCTAAAACCCTAAACCCTACATGGCCGATGAAAGGCAACCTCGCCTCGCAGCCTCGTAGGCCATCCAAGACAGTGAAAGGCGACGCTTTGCTGCCTTGGCTCTCCTCCTGAAGAAGATGCGAATACCGGGGTAGTGTACAGGTTATTATAGGGGTAGCATATAGGATTATTTAGGGCTTGTATAGGGACTATATAGTGGTGATATGGGGGTAGTATAGGGAATATAGGGCTTAGGGCCAAGGCTCGCCACCGTCTGGCCTCACTTATCTATTCAGCCAAAGAATGATCATGGTGCTGGTGGTGGTGGTGGTGGTGGTGGTGGTGGTGGTGGTGGTGGTGGCGGCAGTGGTGGGGGCGGTGGCGGTGGGCGGTGGCGGCGGCAACCAAGAGACAGGGCATGACCACCCTTCGGCGCACAAAAACCCTACGCCTTTCGGCGCCTAAACACTCCTAAAGACCCCTACGCCTTTCGGCGCCTAGAACCCCTACGCCTTTCGGCGCCTAAAAAACCCTACTCCTTTCGGCGCCTAAACACACTACGCCTTTCGGCGCCTAAAAAACCCTGCGCCTTTGGGCGCCTAAACACACTTAAAGGCCCCTACGCCTTTCGGCCTAAGGTATTTCACAGGATGTTCTTTGGGATGATCATAGGGATGATCGTCCCACCCCTACCATGTGCTGACTGTCATCCATTAGGCTGCAGGTGGAGAGCTTTAGTTTAGGGACCTGAAAGTCTTCAGGGTTTAGGATGTAGGGTTTGCGGTTTGCAGGGGTGGAGGGTCCTGATGGGAGGATGCCCAACACACGCCCGATCCTGGAGGAAGGGCAAGGGCCTGAACTCTCTGCTGGTTTGTTGACAAAGCTGTTTGAGGAGATGATCTGTCGTATTATTGTTGGAGGAACATGCATAAACATGTACTGCTCGTAGTTTAAGCGCATCCGTCTTGATCTATTCGCAACTAGCATTGCCATCGTGGTGCAGGACGTCTTGCAATCACGTGAGTTAGCACAAACTATGTATCCCACATTGTGCAGGCTTGCCATGTATCAGATGGTCATAAGAGAATGAGGACTATCCTCAACCTCTGGGGTCTTACAGCCTACACGAACCACAGCAGTCTCCTGCTGCTACTTCCTGTGAACGGTCGCTGCCCGGTAGCTCAAAACACCCATGCCGCCTCCTATGGTTAAATGTTAGATGCTGCAGACTATCGTATGGGCCCTAACTACAACAAGGATCTAATACAGGGGCATGGGGGCATTTTTGTAGTGGGGAGGGTGGAAATTTGATAGTTTCCATAAATCAGGGATCCCAATAAAGACTCCAAAACACCACAACCCTTATCAGTGGGACCCCCAAAAAGGGATCCCATTTTTTTCTGAAACATCCATGTTCCCACCTGGAATTGGGAGAGGCGGCTGGGCCCTGGAATAGTGCTGTCCTCCGAATACTCCTGGAGAAGGCATTTGAGTATCTCTCTTCATGGGGGGCCCCTGGGAAGCTCATGGGGAGTAATACCTAAGGACCTAATAAGAGAATATGGGGTCCACTAAAGGCGTTTGGTGGTGAGTATCTGGAGAGATTTCTTCGCATCCTTTTGCCCTCACTCGGCCCACACAGACTGTATCTCCGGTACTCAAAGAACTTAAGCGGATTTAAGCAAACCGCGTCATCCAAACATCGTCCCAGGATACTGCCTTTTGACATTCCCAGGAAGCCTGCTGCCGACATCCTAGCTAAATCCTTGAAGGATCTAGACCTTGATACAAGCCCCAAACTCTACAGCTCAAACGGCGAACCCCCTAAGCCTAAACCCTCCGCTGCCCAAAAACAGAAACCCCGGAACCCCAAACCCCTAAAACACCTAAATTCTCTAAACTTTCCAAACCGCCTAATCCCCCAACCCTAAACCCTAAATCCTAAACCCTAAAGCCCAACCCCCAAACAAACCCTAATCCAAAAAAAACAAAACCCCAAACCCTAAACCCCAAACCCTAAACCTCAAACCCTAAACCCTAAACCCCTAAAATCTCCTAAACCTGAAAGCTCCTTGAGCCTCTCGGAGATCCTCTGCGGCTCCAACTCCCTCCTCTTTGCCTCATAGGGTTTAGGGTTTAGGGTTTGATGTTTAGGGTTTAGGGATTTAGGGTTTAGGGTTTAGGGTTCCTCTTTGCCTCATCGGTGACCGCGTGGCGCAGTTCCCGTAGTCCCGGGAGAGAGCTGTACGAGGGGCTCTCCAGCGTGCTCTCCTGCCCGTAGTCTCAATTTTCTTTTCCATTATCCTTAAAATACTACAATATTTTGATATATTACTATATAACCTACTATAATACCAGGGGTTTGGGGTTGGAGGTTGATTTAAGACGTGGATTTGGGGTCTAGGGCCTGGGGATTGGGATTTAGGCTTGGGGGGTTTCAAGCTTCGGCGAGGGGTGATGTGGTCATGTAGAGGCAATGCGCGTGGTGAACGTCCAAGCCGGGTTCTTCCCCTGGACTCTTGTCCTTTCAATACGGACCCCGCAAAATGGAAATCTTCATGTGAGCCATAGTCTAAACTCCTTAAAGGGGTGTTATATAGGGGATTATATAGGGTATATGGAATTATATAGGGGACTAGTATAGGGATTATTAAGGGGGATACTAGGAGTTTACACAATGGCTCATGTGGCATCCCGTGCAAGACTTGCCTGGAATAGGCTGGAATCTCCCCGGCGCAAGCGCTCCACATCCAGGTTCCTATGCCAGAGCACAGTTCTCGAAATGATCTCCATAGAACCCTGACATAGGGACCGACCACACAATACCCTTAAAACCCCACATGCCCGCATATAGTATGATCCAAAGCCATTCCAACAACGTATACCTCAAACATATTACTTCCTCTTGAGAGAGGGCACGCTTACTGACAAGTCTCCATACAATGGGTTATAGAGGGTTATGTAGGGACTATATAGCGAATAATGGAAAGGAACATGGAAACTACTATACTGTAATACAAAGCAATATGGACCCCAGCTTTAAATTGCACGCAGCTTGTTTTTGGGCTCCTGGAGGTGAACACGTTATCGTAAATAAGCCATGAACTCCAAGAGTAGGGGTTGAAGAACTCACCGGGATGGAACGTTCAAATGATTTCTTACAGTGTGTGGAAGCTGAACATATTGCTTCAGGGTTGAACTGACCCTCAGAAGATACGGTACCTAATGAGGCCTTCGTTCTGATCTTACTATCCCCTAGCTGATCTCCAACCTTTGGGAAGGGCTATGACATCTAGAGCTCCTACTATTTGCGCACAGACCTCCTGTGCTATGGCCATACTGCGAAAACTGTAGAAACCCCCATAGTCTGAACCTTGCTGGGAAGATGTGGTAAGCAGCTGAAGTAGGGATGATTCGGGCTGGACATTAGAGGGGGGGTTTGCAAGTTTAGGGAGGGGGAAGCTTGAAGTGCCCAGAGCCTGTAAACCCGTAGACCCTGAAATCCTACAAACCTTATAAGCCCAGAACTTTTGACCTGACAATTCCCTGTACATCACTATATACCGCTACATGACCCTGTTTTGAAGGCCCAGGATCAGATCTCCCAGGGAGCGTCCAGCTTCAGCGGCCAAAAGCTGTATGCGGCCCCTGCGGAAGTGGATGAGGTGGTAGTTTCCCCCGAAAGCCCCGATACAAACCCCAGAATTTTGTAATCCGTATTATAGGGATCCCCAAAAGGCTACCCCGAATTTTCGGAAACCCCCATAGTTCGGGGATGCTGGGGTATCGGGAGGGTTTGGGGTGTTAGGGATGTCTTAGAGAGTGCAGGGATTCTAGATTTTAGCAGTCGGGTGTCCCGGTTCGCCTGGCTTTCGAATTTTTTAAAGCCTGGACGCGGTTTATGGCATAAGGTAGAGTTAAAGGTTTGGGGAACAAGGTTCAGAGCCAAAAGTCCTACCACAGGAGTGGTCCAGAGTGCAAGGTGTAGTGCAATATGTATGCATCAAAGTGCCGCATTCCCGTTTTTGCGGAAAAAGGCCTGGTATCAGCAGTAGCTGCAAGGAGCAGTATTGGTAGCAGTCTTATTTAGTAGCAGAAGCTAGAAGCAGGAGCAGCAGCAGAAGAGGGAAGAGGACACCAAGTAGGGGTTGGAGTACGCAGACTGTGATGGCTGTAGTCATGGCAACGCTCTGGACATATTCCTCTGCAGAGGAGGAGCAGCGTGCTGAGTTTTGTTCAGAAATTGCAGGGCCTAACCAGCATAACCAACGCATCCAACGTCACTCATGATTTTGCATTGGACTCATCGCGGAACCACACCGGCATTGGTCCAAATTAGTTAGAAACACACCTTCAAGCCATTTCGGAGTCGGGTGGTCCCATAACCCGCAAGTCAAAAAAGCCCAAAGATCGCGGAGCCCTCACCCGGGATCACCTCACACTTCCCTCTTACACCCTAGCTATCCCCTTACAACCTAGTCATTGTAACACTTCTGTACACCCTCTCTCGACAAAAGACTACTCTACTCCAGAACGCACTTCAGCAGATTTGTCAGCAGGGCCTGATCTCTGCCATCTTGCCATCCACCACCTCGATAGCCACAGTATTGGTACAAGTGATAATAGTACTAGGAATAATGGTGGCAAGAGCTTTTACTCAAACAATTGTTGACTTCAGGTTTGACAAAGAGGGTTCCGGATTTTTCTGAGGAACCGCAACCCGGTGGTCAGGATGCGCCGGCAACACATCCACTGCGATACGCGCAGGGCTGCAGGTCAGGCCGCAGACTTGCAACAATGAAGTCTGATGCTCTAACTGATCCCCCCTAAGCTTGAGACAACTGTAGTGAAATGAGCCGGTGTACTGGTGGCATTGGTGGCGGTGGAGGTGGTGGTGGTGTACCGATATGAAAAATAAGAAGTGAAACCATTTCACTGTGGACCAACTATTGCACTGTAGACAGACATATTTGCCGTACCCCTTACTGATCTGCATGCAACCCGACCACTTTGCTGTTGGTCTTCATGACAACCATCAACTCCTCACGCGTTCTCAGGGTGTCTTCCTTCGTCTGCAACCTGGCCACCAGCATTACTTAAGCAAAGGTTAGGCATTCACCCGTTTATCTAGGTGGGGTAGTCCCCTCACCATGGGTGGGGTCAGAAATAGGTCTGGGGGCCTATTGTTTGGGAGATCATTCTCATGGGCTGGCCTGGCGCCTGTAACCACTAGGGCGCAAGTCTTATCGCCTAGCCTAGCGCCTGTAACCACTAGGGCGCAAGTCTTATCACCTAGCCTCGCGCCCGTAACCACTAGGGCGCGACCCCTATCACCTAGCCTAGCGCCTGTAACCGCCAGGGCGCAACCCCTATCGCCTAGCGCAGTGCCCGTAACCACTAGGGCGCAACCCCTATCACCTAGCCTAGCGCCTGTGACCGCTATGGCGCAAGTCTTATCACCTAGCCTAGCGCCTGCAACCACTAGGGCGCAACAATTATCACAACATCTTTGAGGAGGAACTGATGAACAATAGATTTCAGGTGCAAGGCCTTAGATTTCATTTTGCCGTATCCGACCCCCATATTGTGGGACCTATTAAACATGTAGCGCGGGACCTATCATTTGAACCTGGACCCACCCTCCCGAAATAGGCCCCAGGACCTATTATAGAGAGGTGGAAACCTAGGGAACTCACCCCCACCAAAGACCTATAGATAGGGGGGAGGGGGAAATGATTAGGCTGAAAATTCTCAAGAGCGGGCGCCGCAGTGTACCTGCAAACTCCTACGAGGACCCCACATGTGCTTAGAATCCCAAAACTTGTAACTTGAGAAGCCCACACATGTTGCTCGCGATCCAGGTCTCAGTGAGGTTCCTCATGGGGCCATGCCCCGCGTACTTGTCAAATACCGTGATTCTGGCTGTCATGACCCGCAGTGTAAGACACCCAACATGGACTATCTTGTGAGAAACGCAGCCTCCTTCCTTGTGTAGATTCCACATGGTTTGGCGGGAACGTTTAAGCCTAGGGCAGTGCTGCGGCGGCTTCGGAGAAGGTTAGGTTCTCCTCCACCCCTCAAGAGCATGATAACCCAGAAGCTCTGCAACTTTGAGAACACCTGCCTGTGGCGGTCCATTGTCCTCCTCGGCAGCCAGTGGAATCAATCCAAAGTGAGCTGAAGATCAAAAATGAGTCATGAGGATTTCATATTCTTGCTACTGCCGGCAAATTGAATCAAAATCACTGTGGTTAGTAGCAGAAAACCGAGCAGTCATTTCAAGATCGTTGGAAGAATCCTTCCCCGGCTCTGTAGGCGTTGCACAGCCACAACAGAAGCTAGTAGCACTATCATTGTTATTATTGCTACTATTTCTATTACTGAAACTTTTACTATCACTATTACAACAACTATTATGTCATCATAGCTACTATTTCTCTCACTAGTCCTAGTGCTATTGCTATGACTAGTACTACCAATGCTTCTGCGCCAGACCTGTTGCCCTCTGAGTGCGGATGGATAAGCCGTGCAACAGGCGCAGTCAGCGTCCGTGGTTTTAGTGATACCTAGAATATCATTGCTTTTATGGTGGGAGAATGATTTCAAGGAGTTATTACGGTGTGCGCTTCCACCAGCTTGTCCTTGAAGATCAAGAGATCTCATGTCCAGCCTGGGTGGTCCCTCAGCATCTGAAAACAAATCGGGGTTTCAGAGCACTGGGGGTGTCCTTTCGCGGGTACCTATAACAAGAACTATATCACTTTGGGGTCTGATCCAATCCAAGAAGCAACATATCGCTAATCGCAGCCTCATGAGCACCCAGGACTTTGGCTGCTGCCTGGAGCGGCAATTGAATTTACACGGTGCTGCTTGATACCCTAAACTCCAACCCCTAAGGATTTGTAAGGAGGACACCTTCGACGAAAGTTCAAGGATGAGGGAGACTGCGAGGGATTGCTCTTCCCGGTTGGCCGACTTTTTAACAAGCTGGGCAATAACACAAGCACAACAAACACTGAACGCACCATGACTGCACCATGAAACCAGATGATCTTCAAAAACAAATCAAAAGCTTGGGGAAGTTGAGCCCAATCAGCAACTGGACACAGTGCCCAAGTCCTTCCAAGAAATCGCTGAAATTCCAAGGCTGTTTTGGCTGTTTGGCTGGGACCCTGCCTGCTCCTGGGCTTGTAGACTCCAAGCCTCGAAGTCCCTCACTAGGCCTCAGGCAAGGTTGGATGGCTTGGGTAGTTAGGCCCGGGGTGCTGCGGTATATGTATTATATTCTAGGCTCATATGATATAGTAAGGACCATAGGTTCATGCCAATTTTGGTTTTTGCAGGACCCTGCCCAAGGTTGCGATCAACGCATATGACTGTTTTGACATATGCAATCCCAATATAACCCTACATAAGCCCGGGGTACTGAAATCCCTATAACCTTATATAAGCCCTTTGAAGGGTACTTAAATCCCAGCAGCTGCCCTGCCGCTCCGTGTGCTCCGCCAGGAGCGCCTTGGAGGCCTCAGCCGTGGCAGCTGCTGCCTCAGCCGCCTCCTTGCGACGTCACAGGAGTCGTTTTGGGTCATGTAGGATTAGGGTTTAGGGTTTAGGGTTTAGAACCGTTTTGGGTCATATAGGATATATGGGGGTTTGCCAAAACTAGAGGTACCCTTTGAGGGGGTCCCCATAATGAGGATCATAATATTTTGGGGTACATATTAGGGTCCCCTTATTGTGGGAAAGTACCACATAAGGAATTGCATAAAGGTTATATTGGGGTCAATAGGGATCATATAGGCTTGTATAGGATTTCTACAGGATTATGTCGGGTTCTATATGTGTTGCATGGAGATTATATGGGGAATTACATGGGGTCATATAGGATATACAAGGGATTATCTAGGGTTCTGTGAAGGTGATATAGGGTTCGATTGGGGGTATATAGGGTTGTATTTAGCGATGGCATTAGGGTCTATAAGGGATATCAAGGAGTATATAGGGCCATGTAAGGTCTAGGTTTCCTGATATATTCTGTATCGTAGGGCCCCCGCCCACTTACGGTCGCGATTTACGGGGAGTACCCAGGATCATGAAGATCCAAGTTATGATCCTTGTTGAGGATTCCCGGCGGACAATTTAGGGAAGGTCGCATGTAGGCATCTTCGCATGCAGGATATATGTTGCAGCCCCAAGCCCCGAAAGGACCTTGAAGTTTTGGAAATCCCTTTTGTGTAGACTTAGAATGCATGTTTAGAGTTATGGAAGGTCATTTTCTGATTGCCAAGGTTAGGATGATAGAGCTTCGCGTGCAGTTGGACTTGGGGTTTGGGTTTAGGTTTTAGGGTTAGGTGCGTATGGGTTCGAGGTTGGAGGGATTTCAGGTTTAGGGTTTCTATATGGTCAATCGAATGACCGGCACTAGCAATGGCAGGACACTCTTTCTGAAATGCATGGCAATGAGGTACATGGACCCGTCGTGGCATGGCGAGCATTGCATGGATTCCATTGCATGGGTTCATGTCAGGTTCGAAGGAAAGCTCAGGTGTTAACTTGCTGATGGTTGACGAATTCGCTTCGGTACTTCTAGAAGATTATTGTGATGACGTCGGAGACGGCAAGCTCAATACTTCTAACACGGCGCTATAGATGCTCTGCTATACCTCACCTGGACCCTACTAGTATGTATGTCAACCGTTTCTAATATATTGCCTTAAACTGTTATAGACATACAGTCTCCCTTGAGTAGATAGAATCTGGCTTTGGGTATATTACAATAAGATCCCCATAGACCCCATATTCTATTTACTTAAGGGAGACTATAAGCAGTGTCTGGATAAGCCCTGTTCCCAGGCCTCGGCGGCACGCTGCGCTGACGAAGCGGCAAGGCCTGGGCCGACTGCCGCTCTTTGCTCGGAAGGGGCAGTAAGTCTGGGGGTCCCTCTGAAGGAGTATCCCTATAATGAAATAGGGGTACTCTTAGCTTCAAGTCGAAGAAAAGCTTCATGTGGACAGTCAATGCGCAGCATTATACACAAGCCTCCCAGTGATATATGCCGCTTCAATGTCATGCGCGACACATCCTTTGTACCAGCTAGACGAAAATGGGATAGTGTTCTAAGTTGGATCACATCAAGATGACAAGGCAAAGCACACAAGTGGATACCTGCTGTCTGGGTTTGAGGAATACTGCCCCTAACAGGTAGGTGCGGCAAAAGGCATGTGCTCGCGACTGGAGGCCCTGTACGTAGCGCAGAACCTCTACAAACAGTCATTCTTCCCCAAGGGGAGCCATTCATTTTGAGAACCTCGTGTCTGCAACCCAAATCGTCAACCCTAGATCCCAAATCGGAGGCCCTATAAACCCCAAATCCAAATCCTTCATCCCAGCCCACATCCTGCCAAACTCAGTCAAGGAGCTTGCCGCACCCTTGTCATCCTCCACCTCTTCTTAAGCTACCCAAGTATAAGGGATTATTAGGAATTATGAAGGAATTGGGTCTATATAGGGCAGCTGGGGCTTAGGGTAATCAATATATTTGCTTTAGAATTACCTCCGTGGCTTCCCAGCAGCAGGCTCGAGATCGCAACAGAAAGTCTAAACTCCTAGTATGCCCCTTAGTACCCCCTTATAATACTCCCCTATTATAATGCCCTTTATAACCCACCTTTAAGGAGTTTAGACGATAGCACATTTGAAGTGAGCAGTGCAGCTTGATGCTCTGCACCAGGATGTCTAGCGCTCTCAGCTGCAGTGCCCTGATATGGTTACCTTTCAAAATGAGGGGTCCTTAGAGTCAGGGCTTCGCAGCTTACAGTAGATGACATACGGTTGCGACTAATATTACTATTACTATTACATTTGCTTCTACTATTACTATTACTTTATGCCTATATGATGACGCATGCAAACCCATGCAATGCTCTCATGATAGTCCCTCTCTCACTCGCCTGCCGCTTGAGGCCGTCGATGGTTCGCTCCAGGTCTTTGCTGCTGTGTTGCAGCAAAGTCCTGAGCGCAATGACTTACTGGGTTTAGGGGTTAGGGTCAGTAGGGAATACGCATGAGGAATGTATTGTAAGGCTTTGAGGTCTGAGTCCTGGCTAGGGTGATTAGGGTTTAGGACTTAGGGGCAATGACTTCGTGGGGGTCAATACAGGATAGGGGAATAGATTATATTGGGGCTATATATAAGGATGAGATTCCCTTACTCCCTACTAAGCACCAGTAGGATGAAACGGTTGGAGGTTTGAGTCCGGGCTAGGATGATAGTACGGGAAGTTAGCTTGCTAGCTTTCTCAGACTTTCTCAAGCGCGCAGCTTGTCCCAAAAGACCTACTGCAACGCATGCTCCATAAGGCTGCAATCCGAATAGACAGGACCATGCTGAAGCGACCTCTCATCTTCAAAAAACGCACATCCTCGATCTTCCCTATGATCCCTGCAAGAGCATGCATGCAGCGCAACAAGAGAATCCATGCTATTAAGAACTTCCCAGAAACCAGGGGAACATCCCCTCAACTCTTAATTAACCACATGTGCAAAGCCCGGAAGCCTAAACTGACATGCGGTTCAACCGATGCCAGGATGCAGCGTCCGGCTCTGCTTATCCAGCGTGGCCCGCGTGTCCTTTATACAGGTCACCTGCTGTGTCCCTGAAGTCCGTGTTATAGTTTTATGCCTCGGTTCTTCTAGACGGGGCTCTTTTGTGCACACCTCGGTTTTGGCCCGTGTTATGAGGACTGTAGCAGACACAACATCATCATATTTTGCCATTGACAAGACAGACCAAGAAAAGCTCACGTTTCTGAAAAATGCCCTCCTCCAGGCGGCGCGTGACCTGAGCATCCACCTGAGCAACGGTTGACGCTTGAGGTATGTAGCAAAATTGAAGCGAACTCTTGTGAGATACATCCGGGGTACATATTGGGACATGCAAGGGAAAAGGGGCAATCACAATGATAACCTACTTGGACTCAGCGCTTTGGAATCAGGGGCTGGCGGTACTTCACTTGAGCACTCTTGGGCAATGCACCCTTCTAAAACTTCCGTAGATTTACAATATCATTACGTCTCAAAGTGCACTCAGGCGACCATGATTTGTCTTTTGAAGGCAGCTGATGGTGCCCAAGCTTGCAATACCGATGTGCAGAGTGATCGAACACCCACCTCCTGCATGCTTTCGATCAGTCTATCTTCGTTGCCACGCAGATCCTGAGGTCTCTGAAAAACATAACAATGAGGCAAGGGGGTTTAAATAGGGGTTATATAGGGATACATAGGGTTTAGGGTTTAGGGGTAAGTTTCATTTTCCACCTTCTTGCAGCACTACCCCAGCACTGCCCCACAGCACACAGCTACCGCAAGGAACCAGACCATCAATCCAGGCCCATGGCTTAACTCGTCAGAATAGAACAGGGGGGGTGGTATATGGGGATCTTCTCATAGTTTCGGGGAATTCCAGTTTACAGTACCTGCACCCTGTCTACGAAACCCAAAGCAGTCTACCTAATCCAATGGCATTTTCCGCGATCCGGAGAAATGATTTGATCCTCCTTTTGCAGGAACCGAAATATTTCGGAATCGACTCTGACCCTGAGCTCTCTTCCTTAAATTCTGAACTAGACCCCAGCTATTTTGCAAACAATTTCCTAAACACTTTTGGATCCTACAACTGTCTATGCCATCTTAAGGGCTGTATATAACTATATTATACCTACTATCCAACTGTTACCGGATGGGGTCAGTACTCCAAACCCTAACTAAAGCCCAAACCTTAAACCCTAAACCCTAAACCCTAGATAGTAGTTTCCATTTTCTTTTCCATTATCCCAATGTAACCCCAACAGCCCGAACCCAAAACCCCAAACCCTAAACCCCAAATCCTAAACCCCAAATCCCAAACCCTAAACCCTAAACCCCTAAACCCTAAACCCCTAAAACCCAAAAACCCCTAAACCCTTACCCTTTCGTTGCAAGCGT